GCTCGGAGCACCCCCGGGGTCCTGTCAGGGAGGAGTCGCGGAATTTCAGCCGATACCCGTGAAACAGTTTCCTTGCGAGAATGTCCGGTTTTGATGGGGGTTCACAGCCTGGACAGGGAGCCTGCCTTGCTCAGAAAGCAAACTTCAGGTCTCGGCCGCGACAGTCACTGCCCCGCCGTCCCTTCCCCGCGGGGCCCAGCCCGGTTAGCAGCCGCAGTCCCGGAGACCCCGAGCGCGCGCGGGCTGCAGGGCGACCCTGCCCGCAGAGCCTCCTGCCGACTGCCCGGCCAGCGCCGGGTCCCGGGCCCGGGCTCCGCTTCCCCTGCGCCGCACCACGCAGTCTGTCACATAGCGTTCCAGAAACCGTCCCTGCCCAGCCCTCGGGAGGAAGGTAATCCCGTGCACACGCGCGCGCTCACGCACACGCGCGCTCACCCACACGCACGCGCGCGCGTACACACGCTGTTCTCTTAGGTTTTGCCCGGTACATTTCATTTAGGCCGAAAGACAATTTAGAGAAATAGCTGTCTACGTTTGAGCCCTGGCCTGTGGAAGTTGGACTGAAGGCCTTGTAAGTTCCTAATCTAACGGTACTGCAGGCCCTGTCCGGTGGGAGCGGGTGCTTCCCTCTTCCCGTGATCCCGTGTGTATTTTGCCGCGTCGAGATTCCCAGTGAATCTAGGCCAGCGTGCACCGTGAGTGTGCCTGGGCGATGGCCCTTCCGAGCTATGACTGCTGGCTGTAACACCGGCTGTCAGTGGCCCGCAGGAGCTGGCAGCCACCTCGTCGCTGGGTGTCAGAGCTAGTGGGCTCCTGGACATTCTCGCCCAAACCTGACAACCGGAAGTTAAAAATAATTTATTTGGGGGTTCATAAATTCAGTGTTTGGGGGGACCAGCAAATGGCAATGGTTACGTCGCTGGACTCCCACGTAGTCTACCACAGTCCGCGTCCCAGACCCAGAGGCCTAAAACTCATACCAGGCGCAGGCACCTGGGCGCCCAAAATCGCAAGAGGAGACTAGAGGAAAAGGGATTGCGGAGTGGCCATGGGGGAGAGGGCGGTGATTTCTTACTTTCTATCTGGCGAGGGTGCATTCTATTGCAAAAATCTCTTTTAAAACAAAAAGTCAGGGAACCAGCAGTTAGCGTAATGGCTATGTCGCTGGACTCCCACGTAGTCGACCGCGGTTCGTGTCCCGGACCCGGTGGCTTAAAACTCACCCCGGGCGCGTGTGCGTGCGTGCCCAAGATCCTGAGAGGAGAATGGAGGAGAAGGGATTGCGGCGTGACCATCGCCCCTGGGGGGTGATTTCTCGCTTTCTGTCTCTATGTCTCTGTCTGGCGAGCGCACGCGCCCTACAGTGAAAATCTCCCCCCCCCCCCAAAAAAAAGTCAGTGTTTGGGAACTGCCGAGACACCTCACTGGGACCGGGCTGCACTGGGACCGGGCTGCACACTTTGTGAACCTCGGTGCGGTCAGACGGCAGCTGCCAAAGTCCCTGTCTGGACCTCATGGAGGACAACTTGCAGGCGTGACAGACCCATTCGAGGTCACCTGGGGAGGACTAGGCCCCGGACCAAGTGGAAGATTTCTCCTGTGGGCTCCCAGCTTGGTGCGTTGCTGGCACACTGGGCTCAGGTGACCCTTCTTCCCTTTACTGGTTTGACTGTACTGGCCGGGTTCTGCGGGGCACGTGCAGTGCGTGTGCGTGTGCGGTGCGTGCGTGTGCACCGACTGAACCCCTGAACTCAGCGCCTCTGCCCCATTTGCCTAGTTATTTGGCTTAGGCAAAAAGAGCCTGCCCCTCTCAGAGAATTGCCCCAGGAATTGGGAAGCGGGTCGCCCTAAAGGTGGTGGCGTGCGGTTCCGAACTCGGTGGGATTCGAGCAGAGCTCGGTTCCCCCGCTGTCAGGCTCCTGGCTGAGTGGCAGTCGGTATTTTCAGACCCTCGTGTCTGGCAGCGTTCGAGAAGCACCTGCGGCTCCCGAGAGCTGACAAGTCGGAGCTCCCTTCGGCCTCTTCCTGGCCGTTCCTGGGACACAGACCCTACCGCAGTGTAGACCCGCCGTACCCACGACGCGCGGTCTCTCCGGGCGGCCCGGGAAGAACACACAGCATGTTCAGGTCGGGAGACGGCGTGTCCCAGGGCTGGCACGCAGCGTCGGGGTTCCTAAACACCGGTGGTCTCTAGGTTGTGCGAGACAACTAAGAGCAGGGGACGGCGCCCTGGCGACACGGGGACGTTGGGACACGGCACGCAGAGCGCGGGGAGGCCGCCCGTGTTCTAGAGCCCCTCGGCCGGGTCCTGAGCGCCTCGGCCCCGGCGGGAGGTGAAAGAAGGCGAGGCCGTAGGGTCTCGACCCCGGAGAAACGGAAGAAGCTGGAGATCCGCGGAGAGGGAGCGGAGGAGCGCGCGGGTTCCCGGCCGTGCACGAGCTGCCGCGTCCTCGGGAGCCACCAGGAGCGAGCCCGGCCCCGGCGCCGGGAAGGCGGCGACGCAGAACTTTGGACCTGTATTACGCAGCCCTCACACACAGTCAGATCCCTGAGCCCCAAAAGGTGGCGGAGGAGTCGAAGGAGTACCCTGTCAAGGGAGGTGAGAGCAAAGTCCTGCCTGGCCAGCGCTTTCCCTGGAGACCTGGGGGGTTCAGGACTGTCCCCGCCAAGCCTCGGCCCTGTGCGTGCAGCCGTGGTGTCTTCCCCTTCGAAGAGGTTGGCTCGGATGGGAGGAGACCTGGCAAGTTACTGGATGTGGTTGTTCAGTAAGAGTTGAAATAAGCTATTTGGATAATAGAGTGCACACACACACCGCCGAACCCAATCATGCCCGTTTGCATTTTATTATAAGAAAAATAGCAAAACAAAAGCCCCAAGTGGCAGCTGCTGCCCATCCAGGCTTGCTCACCAAAGCCCTTCGCCTGCTTGCCCTCCCCGCTACTGGGGAGCTGTCCAGTGAAGAAGAGGACGGAGATGAAGACGAGGAGGCTGAGGCAGGTACGGGCAAGCAAGGACGCCGAGGACGATGATGTGGACACCAAGAAGCAGAAGACTGGAGAGGATGACTAGACAGCAAAAAAAGGAAAAGTTAAACTTAAGAAAAGTCCGCCGTGACCTATTCACCCTCCACTTCCCGTCGCAGAATCTAACTGCGGTCACCTTCCAGTGGAGAGGCCCGCCCGCCCAGCCACCGCGGGCAGTGCCACCTGCAGATGACACTCGCTCTCCACCACCCAGCCAAAACCACAATGCCAATTTGCAACAGGGGAGGAAAAAAGAACCAAAACTTCCAAGGCCCTGCTTTTTTTAAGAGTGCTTTAAAAAGGAAAATTTGTATATTTTATTTACATTTTATATTTGTGTACATATTGTTAGGGGTCAGCCATTTTTAATGATCTGAGATGACCAAACCAGCCTTTGGAGCTTCTTCTGTCCTACTTTGGCTTTACTTGTGGTGTGACCATGTTCACTATAATCTCAAAGGAGAAAAAAAAACTTGTAAAAAAGGCAAAAACAAAAAAACAATCTTACTCTGAGCATTCCAGTAACTTTTTTTGTATATGTTCTTAGCTGTACTATAAGTACTTGGTTTGTATGAGATGGTTAAAAAGGTCAAAGATAAAAGGTTTCTTTTTTCCTTTTTTTTTTGGTCTATGAACTTGCTGTTTGTTTATTTATTTATTTTTTTGGCCTGTTTGATGTATGTGTAAAACAATGTTGTCCAACAATAAACCTGAATTTTATTTTGCTGAGTTGTTCTAAAAAAGAAATTATGAAGTAAAAGACACACTTCTGTCTCCCTAACTGGGAAAAAGGTAAGCAAATTCTCCTGCTGAGTTCAGATTATCAGCTGAACTAAATCCTTATAGGAATTGCCAATGAAAAGAGAGACACTGCAGACAAACCCCACGGATGGATCACTTTCAGAGGATTAGCCACCCAACTGTGATGTGAGCTCATTACATGCCCAAAGCTAGACTTCTGGGACACTTCAGAAATAGCTCATACATTAGCTCTTTTTTTTTTTTTTTGGAGAGGTTTTTGCTATAGGGTGCCTGGGCTCGCCAGACAGACAGAGACAAAGAGACAGAAAGCGAGGAATCACCCCCCAGGGGGGATGGTCATGCCACAATCCCTTCTCCTCTGTTCTCCTCTCAGGATCTTGGGCACGGACGCACACACGCCCGGCGTGAGTTTTAAGCCACCAGGTCCGGGACGCAAACCGCGGTTGACTACATGGGAGTCCAGCGACATAGCCATTACGCTAACTGCTGGTCCCTACATTAGCTCTTCTAAAATCGATTAATGGTATCACCAAGCGCTTCCATGTAAGCAGAGAGGGGAGAATAAAAGAACATTCTTTCTAAGCACCTCAGAAATACAAGACATTTTAATGACGTGTGTAAAAGGAAACAAGAGAGAGGCAGAAAAGTGGAAAAGAGAAGAAAAAAGTAAAAGGGGGCCGATTATTTTGTGGTAGGAGTCATTCCAGAGAGATGGCCTAAGCTGGGTCAGGGGCTCCTCTCCTCTTCTCTTGTCAACTCACTACAAACTAGAAATACAGCTCCAAGTGGCTATAAGTGTTTCAACTTTTAAGTACTCTGGGCTGGCAGGTGCCATAGTGGTTAGGGGCACTGGACTCCCACATGGCTGACTGTGGTTCAAACCCTGGACCTGGTAGCTTTCTCTCTCTCTCTCTTTCTGTCTCTGGTGAAAATTGAAAAATAATGATAATATATAATTCTTTAAAAATTTTTTTAAGTACTGAGCAAGTGCCAGTTCTAGCAAACATAATGTCAGCCCTAGATTATTTACTGATTTATAAATATCCTAGATACAAAGGGAAAAATAAAAGGTGGTGAAATATATTTTATAGGGCTGTTCCTGTGGCCTAAGGGTTAAAATAGCCTGATCTCACATGACAGACGATGCAGTTTAAATCTTGGCCCTAGTGGCTTGAAACACATGCCAGGGACTTGTGTGCATTCATGCCCCAAATCCCAACAGGGTGAAGAAATAGAAGAGAAAGGCCTAAGGCATGACCATGCCCCACTGAAGGGTGCTTTCTTCCCACCCCCCACCCTGTGAGCACATGTGCCTTCTGGCAAATTGTACAAAACACGATAATAGGAAGTGTTATTCTTAAACCATGGCACAAAGATTTCTGGAAAACTACCTATCTCAGAAATTCTTGAACTGAGCAGAATAGGAACACTCCTTAAAATATATATACATATATATATGTATGTATGTATATAAGAAATATATACATACATATACATACACATATATACATTTAAGGTTTTGCTCTAGGGTGCATGTGCTCACCAGAGAGAGAGAGAGAAATCTCCTGGGGGGATGGCTACCTCCCAGTAGCCCCCCCCCTCCGGATTTTGGGCATGCATACATACATGTTTCCCAATGTATTTCCAAAGCTGCTGGATCCAGGACTTTAACAGTCAACCATGTAGGGTCCAGCTGTCTTAACTACCATGCCACCTAGCTGGCTATTTATATGTGTATATGGGGGAGCAGCAGGTGGCCTGGTGGTTAAAGGCGCTGGACTCTCACATGACCAACTGTGGTTCAAGTCTTGGACCTGGTGGCTTCCTTTCTCACCTTCCCTCTCTCTCTTGCTGGTCAAATTGGAAAATAATAATAATAAAATAAAGGTAAAATAATTTTATATGTGTATGTACCTATGTATAGAATAGCCACAAATATATAATTTATATATAAATATATGTATATGTAAGTGTGTGTGTGTGTATATA